ACAAAATTTTATCTCCATCTAAAATGTTTACATAGACAAAATATTTTGAGAAATTTTAAAAAATGCCACTTTTCAAATGCCATTTTACAAAAATGCCACATTTTTACATTCTTTACAAAAACTCCATTTTTCAAAATTATTTATTCATTATATCATTTATGTTTGGGTTAACTATGTTGTATTATGTTTAGTTTTGAGGGTTTTCGGGGTCAAAAGATTTTTTACGATTTAGAATTTTAAGATTTAGGCTCTAAAAAATCATAATTAGTGGCATTTTTGTAAATTGACACCAAAAGTGACATTTTGAAAATGTGGCCACAAAAAGTGGCATCTTTGCAAATGTCCCAAACATTTTCTTACAATTAATTAATTTTAAGTTTCATTTAATTCATGTTTATGTAGATATATTTATTGTTACATATAGCTACTAAAATTTCTAATTAAATAAAAAAACGAAAAATAAGTCAATAAATAACTAAAAATAGTAAATACAAATTATTTGAGTAATTTATTGTTATAAATATAAAACTACAACAATAAATATATTTTATTATGATCTTATGATAATGATATAAGTTTATATATTCAATTTCAAAAATTGAAAATATGGAAATGGGAATTATGTGAAATGAATAGACATATAAGAACAAATGAATAAAAATATAAACAACATCAAAGAAAAAAAAACCTAACTAATATGAGTGTCAAATGATTGTTAAAAATATATATTATTTCACTAAAATGGTATTGAACCATCTCACTAAAGATGGGATAATAAGATGAAAATTTAGAATATACGATTTTTTCATAATGTTATATTTGAATTTTATGGAAGTATGAAAGAAAAAACTTGAAAGTGTTATATTACCATTATTTTAAAGATATAAGAGGTATAAATTGGTGCAAAATAAAAAAAATTATCGCGCGAATTATATTCTAATAAAAAAAGTAAGTGAATGATTAAAAGTAGCATAAAATTGTAAATGGTTAAATCAATTTTTTCGTTAATTTTAATAAAATTATAAAACTCATGATCACGCAAACCATATTTTAGGATTATTTGAGTATTTTCTTTTATAAATAAAGTTTACAATAATGAATATATTTCATTTATATTGTAGTTCATTAGGAAGTAATCAACATATTATGAGT